GAAAGGTCACTGCGTCATGACCATGAGGCAAGTGATAGAGATGGAGGAGAATCTGTTATTTTTGATTAAGGGCAGAATTCTTCTTGATGGGGGTGAACTAGAAGGCGGCAAACTCTCAGTGGAGCGACACCTCTGTGAATTACACCGTCCTAAACGGTATCTAGGAATCGTGAAATAACGACGGCGCACTTACGAGGTCTGTTAATTACAGAAAAAGTTAAGGCTTCCACTTTCAAGGAGTTCAATTGCATTGTCACCGCTATGCTTGAGTAGCACACTTTTAAACTTTTTCTCGGGGGGAGGGGGCGCAGGGGCATTGTTTCACTAAGCCTTTTTTTGCACCTCTCTGTTTACACTTTCAAAATCCCCAGGTTATGAAAGGCGACAACAAAGGAAATATATAGGAGACTTCGTGGAGGCTGAACACACAACATCTGACAAGAATCCGAACAGCATTTCGTTTCATCAAAACAATTTGAATCCAAACTACACTCGTCATCAGTCTCATTTCCGCAATCCTCGACCGGGAGAGAAATGGGGCTTATGCCTTCCTTCAAACCCCCTAAAAGTAAACAAGTAGTTTTTAAAGGGCTTCTATAAACTAAGCCAAGAATTTTAAAGATGGTCATTTGCAATAGGCGCAAATCCACGCAACCCTCAAACACACTGTGAAATTTTAGGTTCATCCTTTCCATTTGGTTGTTTTTCCATCTTGCTCAATATATATTTTAATTAAGGACGGTAATTTTCTTAAGAAACTGTGCCGCTGCGTCGGTGGAAGAGTATAACAGGGTAATTTAGTATTATTAACTGAGTTGATAACGTATATTGGCCACCGTAAAGAGTTTTAAAGCTGACGTTTCGAGCCTTAGCCTTTTGTCAGAGCGATTTACGTGTTTCTAGAAGGTTGTTGTTAAAAACGATTCAAAATACCCGTGCATAGTAGAATGAAGATGGTATTGAAAATTCTGCCAGATGCTCAGACAATAAAAAATAAATCACGCAAAAAGCGATCGAAACGAATCAAACGAATTCGGCTAAAGGACATCAGATGTAGATGTAAATAAGTAGTTTTTAAAGGGCTTCTCTAAACTAAGCCAAGAATTTTAAAGATGGTCATTTGCAATAGGCGAAAATCCACGCAACCCTCAAACACACTGTGAAATTTTAGGTTCATCCTTTCCATT